ATATAGCAAACTCTTACATATTTCTAGGCACAATCGCATACAGTTGTGGTATTGCTGTTGCGATAAATTACTTAAAGTAACATTTATTCACTCACTCATTCATGTGCCACCTTATCTGGGTCATCATTATCCATTGGATATGAATATAACGGGATCAAAGCCTTGCACGACACACTCCCCACGCCGATGAATCTCACCACCTGTCTAATTATCATCCAGGTAATGAAGTGGCTCTTACAGATTCTCCACAGCTTTGTCAAACACATGACAGGACAATCTGGGACACAGTCCCTCATGACTGCTCTCATGGGAAACATTTGTCAAGAAAGTACGTGTCATCTGCACATGTGATCTATCTTTGTAAAGCATCCGTTCGGGGACTTTCTGTCAGTAAGAACGTCTTGTTTGGATATATTCCTTTAACATTGTTGGGTAAACTTATGATATACTGACTTAATTTGAACATGTTGTAAGACGTAATTTCAATGAGCAATCGTTCCACGCTGCACATATATCAGAGACCCTTTCAGTATGAATCCGGACTAGATCATATCTACATGTTTATTCATCAATGCAGCTTCGACAAACTGAATTCAATATTTGTGTGGATGTTATTACAAGCCCCAGCTAGCGCTAGTCATCCACCACGGCTTGTATCATGTAAAGACAGTATGCATAACTAGGTAGCTGAGAAAGGCCTTGCTTGTATTATTTGTAACGATCTTGTATTTGGACGTATTCAGCTGACATCATACTGTAGTGTTTCTGTGTCATCTCGGTGATAGCTGGTGATGGATGAATTGCTATAGGGAATGTCAAACGGTAAAATGGGTTTAATGTTCTTATTATATATGACGACACAAGAAGGCGGGTATTATCAGTTCATCTTCATGATCTGAAGCCATCGAGGATCAACTAAAATCTGAATGTCGTTAAGCATTTCGAAAAGGATTGCTAAACCAAAGCCCACTCTGTGTATCTGTAGATTCCCACTGTAGATCACATAAATGCAATGCTCAAAGATTTTCTTACTAATGACAATCGGCAAAAGCGAACTTGTAGGGAAATACATTTACAGAAGTTATTTGTATTTACAATCCATGCGTCAAATGCCACCATGTAATTATATCTCTACCAAACCTAGGCAATGTGATGCATTGTATGTTTTGGATCACTCATAACAGTGGGGCATAAAACAAAATGTAAATCGTGCTGTTGGAGGTAATCCAATCTGTAACCAAGCAGACAGTGTGGCATGCAACTCCTGTAAAACCATCACCATCTGCCATGTTGACATTATACATTTGTACGATTTATTTGGTTACCTGTCTGTGAGTACATGTTCAGCTTTGTAGTCAGAAGTATAAGTAAATTATCAATTTCACGCTAGGGGTATGAGATGATATATCTCGCGAACGCGACATTTGGTGATAAAAACGAAGAATGATTGAAGGTTTCGCCTCGTATAGCAGCTCCTGCTGTGAGTGGATCATTATCCCTGTGTATTGGTCAGATGGATTCTACCCCGAGGAAAGGAAAGGTGCTGATTTTAAATACTGGGATACTAATTCTGAAAATAGAAACAGAACTGCTATCGTTGACGGTTTACAGGGTACCTGTCTCAGAAGATATTCAATAAGTGTTTAATCTGTTTAGTCTATCGATCGCTGTCTAAAATCTGCGGAACATAAACTGGAGCTGCTGAAAATGAGGATAAGGAACCAAACATTTCTCAGTATATTTATCTAATTATTATGAATATTTAAAATGAATCGATCTTACTTCCAGGTACGCAATTGTCACCGATTCGTAAGAACTACTGACAGGGACATTTTCGAAGTAACTACAGTGCCATTAACGGGTCTAATGTGTCAGATTACGGAGAATGGAACAATCAAGGAGGCATTAATGGATCACTGCTGTTCCTTTGATGTGTGATATTGTGGTAATAAACGAACATGGGAAGGGAATGTGTCTTCTGATTTTCAGACTCGTGAAGCCACGTTACTTTGATTCATCTAAGTAGTGAAGAAGGATATTAATGGCTTTCAGTTAGGCGAGAATACATATAACGCCACTATATGTCTGATGGCGGTTTCCTTGATGCAGGATGCACCACATGGATCCATTTATGGGGTAAAAGAGGTCACATGTATATAATGCAGTTACATGTTACAGAGCGATAGAACTTTAAGTGTATTAATTATGTTAAGATTTTCTGACAAAGACCCATGATGTTAAAATTGTGCAATTGTTTTGTAATTTTGAATGCAGCTTCGTCATTGGTAATATTAAAATCTTCAGTGTAGGAAAAGGAAGTATGGCATCCTTCTGTTATCTTTGTGCTCTTTCGTGAGTTATTGGGAATTTTTTAAAATCAATCTCCTGACAGTTCGAAATATTGCATTAGGCAGACTTATGTGTCTTTCCACTGTGTCTTACTTACATAATTCTTCAACTTTTATCAGATCAATCTGCCTCTTACTCCATAAGTCGACATCAACTGCAATCCGGTGCTGTGTAGAGGTTGTTACGATGTAAATTGTATTAACGTGGTAAAACGTAATAAAATGCTGTATAAATCTAATAAGTCTGTGGTAAAATGAAACATTTCACTCGACTGTAATAAAAACAGTTATATACCAACTCAAACATTATTTGATATATTAAGAGTGTACCGCCGGGTTCAGACTCTAGACATGTTACTACCTAAACATGAAGCTCACATATCTATTTACCAGCTTTTCATTATCTGTGTATCATCAATTGATCGATACAGATATATTACGTCTTTGAAGAACACAATTAGATTCGTAATTACTCATGTTCAAGCGCGAACAAGACATCACTCGAAAGCAATTAGTCGATACATAATTATAGTACAGTATTTTTTATATTTAATATTATTGAGGTAAGAAACCCTGGCAAGAATCTCGATTAAATAACTTTACACAATGCAATACAAAAAAAAAACCAAATTTGAGTTTTGTTCCAATGTGGTCATGAAATAGATATGAAACTGTTCGCTTATGTGATTATATATGTATGTTATGCCATCTAATAAATGAAAACAAGTATGTATTGTTAGTATTTTTTATTTCTGTGAATATTTTTACATACGATGAAGATAACTAGATCTACCATTTCTGATATGCATGCAACAGTATGACGATCATGACATTTAGTAAACATTGATATTTTCACGCAAATACATTAATCCGACATTTTCATTAATCCGACATTTTCGTTAATCCGACATATTTCTCTGCAACCACAAGTGTCGGATTAACGAGAATTGACTGTAGATCCATTAAGATTACGATTGAGCCTGAAAATATGTGCTGCAAGCCCTATTCATGGATCCGCGCATCTTCGCTAAGCCACGCCCCCCTTCGATACTGTTGCGAGGCACCCCACGCTTTCTAACAAAATGGCCGCCGCAAAGCAAAGCAATTTTCTCGCATGCATTCCTGAAAACTTTTCTGTGTCCTTTTTACCGATTGCTGATCAAATATCAACTAAGAGCATGGAAAAGGGACTTAATTCTTACCAGCAAGGCTACATCCATGAGTTGACACTTCAGTTCCCGACCGTATCCGCCAAGTGTTGGCCATCACTCAGGAAAAACAACCCGCCTCATCGACTGTCACTTGACCTTGATGTCGACCGAATCAGATATGCTTATTGCACTTGCAAAGCTGGGTAAGTTGCTAGTTTAGTAGATGATTTTTATACCTGTTACGAAAGTGTGTGCGTACGATTCTTATTTATTGTGATGCATATTACAGCCAACCTTGAACAGGTCTGGAGGCCAGACTTGTCAATGTCAAAATACCGTTTGGTTTTAATTATTGTGAGAGGCCCCATATTAAATGTTGTTTATGAAGACATTTGTAATAATAAAATTGTCAAAGGGAATTAATGCAAATATACCAAAATGTTTTGATCGTACATTAAATATTAGGTTACAGCATTGGCCCAATGATGGCAGGCCAATCCGTAGCCAGTACTGGCCCAGCATTAGCCCAATGATGGCGTGCCAGTCTGTAGCCAATACTGTGCCTTTGTTTTGCCAATCATATCCTCCTGGCTTTTTAATCTATATATGTGGTTCTTCATTTATTAAGGCCAAGAAGTTGTATCTTGGTTTTCTCTACCACCCAACTCCTGTGTTTGTAACAAACAGCACTTGTAAAAATGCTGTGAAAACATGATGGCACTTTGAAATGAACGTAGGGGCTTTGACACTTTATTGCTAAAGTAATTACCAACTGTAAGTTAAATCCTAAGGTTTTTGAACAAGAATGAAATAAAAACGTTATAACAAACAGGACATATGTTCACATATCATTATATGTCGTACAAAATATATAGAACTTTAACAAATACCTTAGAATTGTGTTGAGATATGAAATTCAATAATGCTGAAATGTGTATATATCTCTTAAATGGTTGAATATGCGCGGTTGAAAACAGAAAACAAAAAATTAAATGCATTTTAACAACTTTTAATTATCTCTCTTATAATAGAATGCAATGAAATAAAATTTGAATGAATGAATACAATAGGATAGCAGATAAGTACACAGTTTATTCTGTGCTTGTCTCCAGCTGCTGCAGTAGCAGCAGCAGCAGCTCTTTCTTCTTCTTGGCAAGTAGGGTCCTCTCCTCCTACCACCGTCCCTGTCCGGAGCATATCGGAACCACAATTTAATGTGGCTTTCCAGCTCGCAGTCGGACGCCTTTAAACATACCGGGTTCTTCCGTGCTCTCTGAAATGGAAACCGAAGCTGATAGTAAAAATAAATAAAGCTGCTGTATCAATAATTCTCCAATTTCATTTAACATATGAATATGTTATTATGTATTGTCTTATATGAAGTCAAACTTGCGTAAATGGATCGTATGACTGAGTACTTACTAATAACAACTTCCTTCAGTCATCATCTGTTTGGAAGGGTTCTTTTCCTGAAGTCCCCTTCCAATTCACCTGCTTATGACCGAGTTTGTCATTAGCATTGACAAAACTCTGCGTATTGTGTCTCCTGTTGACACGCCTCCTGCCACTCCGAGTTGCCCAACCTGTTGGATTGTAAATTTTTCAATAATTAACTTCCCTAGCGTTTATAACTATATATTATGGCCATGTAAGAGTAATATTCCGTACAACAATCACTATTAATTGGACTTGGATTGAAACAATTGTTTCAATAACTCAAGTAGTGAAAGGAATGAAATTGGTCTAAAACAAAATTAATATTTACCGCTGATCTCAATCTGGAGGATTCCTCCAGAGAAGTATTAGTTTCCCTCAGTTCCTCGATGGTTTTGAGGGGGAGATGCAACTCCTCAGCTGGTGTCAAGTCCGAGAACCAGACTGTAGAATTCTCAGGACCTGGTGAAGCAGCTTCTGATTTTCAAGAGCCACTGCTCGATTTGATTCCACGATCTTTACAAGTTCAACAACTTCCCCTAGGTAGTTTTGAAAATAGAAACAAAATAAACAATTAACAATTGTGCAGGTTGTGGAAATAGTTTTTCATCAGTACTGTTGAGCACAAATGTTTACCATTATCAAGTTGATACATTTTTAAATAAGTAATATAAAGCATAAATGTTTAACCATTATAATCATACACACCTCTAGTTGCCCCACTGTTGAACTTGGTGAGTGACTGGGCCTCCATACATCCTGTCGGGACAGCAATGGAGATGGTTCGGGTAAGATCCGTCGCCTGGGGATCGCCGTGGGCTGGTCGGGACCGACAGTGTAGGTAGGGGTGGAGACATTGCCACAGGTAGAGAGACTGGAAGGCGAGGAGGAGAAGGCGGCTGGGGAGAAACTCTAAGGCGAGGTGGAGAAGGTGGCATGGGCACAGAGGACTTTGACACTCGTGACTCCTTGCTCTTTGCCACTTGTGTCTCCTCATCACTTGAGCTGGAGCTAGAACTCAAGTACCTGCCAGTTGGTCTGAAATCAAAAATAAGTTCGAATTTACAAAAAAGGAATTTAGAAATGCAAACAATTCAAAGAGCTCAAATTGAAGCCTTTCCACTAAATCATTATCAATTATTTAGTTTTGTAACAATCATCTTGTAATTTTGTGATTTTGTCATATCTATTTAAAGAAGTGTTAAATGTTTATATTCACGCTTCTAACCATATTCACTCAAATGTATTTTGGTACCTTCTTTTCCTTGACTCTCTATCATCCTCTGCCTCCGTGTCGAGGTTAGACATATCAGTTGCCAGGGGTAGTTTTCTCCTCACCTTGTCATACGATTCTGTAATTATTATAGAACACATTTAATTAACGCATCATTATGCCAGTATGTCATCTTGTTAACAATGACTTATCATTTAATAATAATTATTTTTTAAATGAATGAATTAGTATGAAACGTGTTCAGAATTAAAGATAAAACTAAACTACACTGATTAGCTTTAGTCGTTTATACTTACCACTACTGTACATGACTGTGATGGTATACAGTTTCCATGTATCCTTGTCTGGGAGGCAGCAGGTCTTCACTCCCTTGTCCAGTTGGTTACTGTTTTTGAACTTGGGCCAAAAGCAGTAAAGTACTCTCTTCCGATGGAGCCAAGTGTGTGGCACAATCCCACTTCATTAGTCTTTTGGAACTTGACTATGTGGTACATTTCCTGTTATAAAGCACTTGTCGCTTGAATTTACAGATTAGAATAGCATCTTTTACTGTTAAAAGGTTGTGTATAGAATTAGCAGTATCATGTCACTGTTTTCTGTACCAATGAAACTAACATACACACTTTACTGAATGTTTAGATGCAGCAAAGGAAGTACAATAAATGATTCTTTTTCAGGTAAGATAACATATTTCTTTTGAATTTGTGATACCCCCAACGTACAGATGGTCACTTAAATGTGAAACTTTAAAATTCCAATAGAAGACGATTTAAATGGATAAGTGAAGAAATCTTTTTGGATAGGAACTTAGCATATATGATTAAAATATCTTTGTTTTGCATTCTGTACAATATTTTTTATTATCACAACTTCATTGTTAATACTAACACAGCTATTTCAATTGATTTTGACAAAAGAATCGGTCCATGTGGATTTCTTTATATTGTGTCACGTATCCTAAATTAGATAAAATAGGTCCATCTGAATGTTCAAACTTTACACCTTGATTCTCAGAAACATGTTTACCTTTGTGAAGAGGTACCTGACTTTCACCTAAACGTCTTATTATCTGCTGAAGGGGGCACTTTGGTGTTCAAAGTAGCTTTTTAATTTGCCTAAGAAGCTTTCCAAAAGGAAAAGATGAAAAATTGTCCAAGGGACCAAACCTTTTACATCCTGTGATAGATGTACCAAACCATGCAGGTTATAAACAACCATATCATTGCCATAAAGACGCGAAAATGTTCAACAAAAAAGACACAAATTGTCTTTGGCATAATCGCAATAATTTTGAACTAGTAGGGGGTTGCTAAACAGGTAATACCGACAAAAAAAGCAGAAAATTTAAGTACACGGCATTGCACAAAATATCATTTAGGGCAACCGGCCCAGTATATAATAAGAATAATCTATATTCTGTTGCTTTCCATCTGTCTATTTCCCCTGAGAGATCTCCCTTTTCTACAGAACTCCTTGGGATGTATTTTGAATACAGAGTTAGCTTATCTGACAGTTTGTTTATTGCAGTTGCTCCAATTCTACATCCTACAGAAACGGGACCCTTCATCCATAAAAACAACAGTTTTTCATGACACCTAAGGCAGACCAAATGCATATAATCAAGTGGAAACTGGGTAACCATACCTATTGATAATTGATTCAGTGGTGATCTGAATAAATGATGCTCTTCATCAGCCATTTCATCAAATTGAAGATCAGTTCTTAGAGGTGCTTTTGTTTCTGGGAATGTCATCTTGTTTAACCATCTACCATTTTGAAGACACTTATCACAACCAGAGTAACCGTTGTGGCCTTTCACTCCTTTAACAAACGCCCTGGCTGGTGTATCGCATATAAAACATGAAATGGAAACTTCAATTTTGAGGCCATTGTGGTCTAGCCCATCACGCTCAAGACCCTTCATTTCTTCTACAAATTCGTTTTAAATATTCACCAAGTTTTGGTGGTTTGGAAGCCCATAGAAGAGGCCTATGATAAAATGGTTGACCAAGAAAGGGATGGATGACTCTACCAAGTATTGGCCAGAACTGCATTGAGGTGCTTTTAAAAACAGGTAAACCATCAATATTCACTTGAAATTTCACTTGCTTACCAGGAATATTGAATTCCATTCTATCAGAAAGCTGATATGATAAAGAACTTGAAATTCCAAAATGAAAGTACTGCCCCTGTAATGTTTTTCACAGCGTAACTCCTAGGGTAAGAAGCAATGTACGTGGATCCTTAGGGAGAGAAGGGTAGTCATTACGTAGAATTTCTAATAGTGACGAAATTGTTCTATGAGGGACCTGGTATTTGACTGCCCATTCGCTAAGTTTTGACATCATTATTTCATCTTTGTCTCGATATTCATTTTCAGAGCTGTCATTTTCAGAACTACTTGTTGCATGGCTAGTTTTTGAAAATCATGACTTGCATTTTGTTCAAATTCATAAATTGTGTCATATTCATCTTCATCATTAACGACATCTTCATCACTACATGGGCCTTCATCAGAAAATGTTGTTGTAGATGCTAAAATTGACTTGCTTGTGATACAGACGTTGATGTTAGAGTTTCCTCAGCATTATATTGGTTTTCAATTAAATCATATTTGCTGGCTGATGCCAAAGCTTCTAAATGATTTGAAACCCTTTTCCTAACTTTACGACGAGATGTCCAATACAGAGTCATTCATTTTGATAAAGTCAATATACCGGTAAATACAACGTACAATTCTATCTAAAAAATCAAATAATATTCTAGTTAGTCTGTCGTCAAGACCCTGGAGCAAGAATTTAAAAGGAGCCTTCTTAAGTCTAGAAATTCTGACAATTCTAGATTGCCTTACCTCTGGGGTTCTTTTCAATTTTGATTAATATGTGATGTTAAAAATGAAAAATTTCAACTCTATCAATTTTGTATATTTCAAATACTTTCTTTTCAAAATATAATTTGAGAATTTAACAATCCCAGTCAGTCAGATATGCAATTGTTACCTAATGTGGTACTGAAAAGTATATACACATGTATTTCTGATTACAGAAAACAGTGACAAGTATAATACTGAAACAAAATGTTGCAGTAAATGGAGAGAGGATAGCCACGTTTAACTCAATGGTGCTTACGTATCAAATTACAACCATTTCCAAATAAACCCATTTATCTTTTAGTAACATGTTTACATATATTTTAAAAACAGTGACTATATGGTGGACTATACCTTTCTTTAAAAGATCCCAGAATATCACGTGGAAAATGGACTTGAAATCTGTAAAACCTCGGACAAGAGCAAGACTGAACAATGGTGAAAGATACCGCTCAAAGGAGAAATTCCTCAGTTGATAGTCTGCAGCAAATGTATATGTTTCAAAAGTTTCCATTGTTTGTAGTTTCTTATAAATTATAATTAGATTATAATAGCCTAAATAAATGTGCACTGATTGTATGAAACTGGACAAGGGCTTTGAGATATATTTGTAAGTTAATCTTCAAGTTTCATGACTAAAAGTAGCTTCGGGCAGATGAACTGATAAAGTGTTTAAATTTAGAACACATGGGTCAATGCTGCTACTCTGCTGGGAATCTACTGGTACCAGCTGGCCGCTGAGAGACAGTGGCTCGCCCTACTGTGCCTGCTGTTGCAATGCTGTAAGCCCGTTGCCGGCACAAGCGTAACTCGCGGCACTAATACCAGCATTGGGCCAATGCTACCATGCTACCTGGGTAGAGACTGTTTTAATTCATGGCAAGGAGGTGGTGATGATTTTGTAATTTCTAAAAGAAAATATTTGAGGGGGGTGGGGTGGTGGTTGCAACACATTTTGTTCTTCTTGTGAGGTAGAGGCGTCATAAATATTGTACATGTAGGCGAGGGTGGGGGAAGCAATTGTGTACCCTAATATATTCAAGTGTATGCTTCCAAAATTATGGGAGGGTGGGTGTCATTGATTTTTGGACATGACATGAAGGGGGGTCACTTTGTACATAAATTTTTGGGAGGGGGGGCCATTCACATTGTACATGCTTCTCCATAAAATCATGATCACCCCCTCCCATAAATTATGAACGGCCCTTTAGAACATTTGTATGATCAAGGAATTATTTATCTATTAGTCCCAGTCTACTGAGAATCAAGTAAACAAAGTAGAGTGAAGCCTCGTTAATCCGGACGGTTGCGTTTTCAAAGCAAATTGTCGTCAGGATTGCATAGAATAGTCCGGACTACTGACTACTCTGGAAGTGGGAGTGTTCCCATATAATAGGTCTGATAAAGACATTGCAGGGATTCAAGCTCAACAACTTCAAAGAAATTCCATCTGATTTGAGTTCCACATCCATGCCACAACAATGGAACAAAGCCAAGGGGAGACAAAATCTTGCCAGTGCCTATCAGCCAGAGTTGTGGTTGCTAGACCAACTGAGCAACAACGCAAGCGGAAGCCGATACAATACCACGCCGACATGAATTACAAGTATAGTTTTATTCTTATTTCATCAGACATTTTGCTGAAATTGATAATTCAACTAA